TTCCGCCTCCCTTCTGCTGAGCGCATTCGTAGAATGGCAATGAGAATGAATAGATAAGAGATGATAATTACAGTCAGAGAATAGGTGAAGTTAATGCCTGCCAGTATGATCATTGTATATTCTTTTACATAAGTCCCAGCACAGGCCATTTTGATGAGAGGTTGGTCTGCACAGTAGAAGTGGTTGATTTCAATCTTCCCACAGAAGTACAAGCCATAAGTCCATAATGTTGCTGCCAGACTAGTCAGAAAACCATATATGTAAGGGAAAGAAATTAGTCGAATACAGACTACCCTTGACATTTTGCTGCTGTAGAGTAGAGGATTGCCAATGGCCATGTATCTATCAAAGGCCATCACAGCAAGAATGAAAATTTCTACATGGACAAGGGCAATGAAGAAAAAACATTGTAGTAAACAGCCAGAATAAGAAATTGTTTTTTTCTCTGATAAAAGGTTTTCTAACATTTTAGGGGTGACATTGGAAGAAAACCAAACATCCACAAATGACAGATGGCTGAGGAAAAAGTACATGGGGCTGTGAAGCTGTGGACTGACTTTAATTAACATGATCATGCCAATATTGCCCACCATGGTGATAACATAGACCATGAGAAATATGATGAAGAAGAGAATTTGCCATTCCCGATGACTGGTTAATCCCAAAAGAATAAACTCTGTCACATCAGTGAAATTGAGCATTTTATCAGTTAAACCAATATTAGTACAAAATTCTGTGATATCTGAAAAGAAATGAGTGAAAAAAAATTAGAAATCTATTTATTTATTTATTTTTAGCTTAATTCATATCCCATTTTATTGATCTGTATTAAATATCTATGCACATCACCATTTTCTCCTGAAAATCTTTTCAAAGCACCTGCTGTGTAACAGATTCTTGAAGATCAATAAATACACAAATTCTATTATGTATGAACTTTATGAAATATTGTGATTTCAACAAGTTCTTACTAATGGTTTCAGCAACCTAATTTCTAAGAGCACTTCTTAAATATCTCTTATTGCCAATACTGCTTTGTGCTTTCATATTTTTAAGCTATTAATGGAGAATTTTAGATCTCTACAGAGCTCAGAAATCTCTTTTATTTCTTTCCTCTTTTTTCATTATAAGAATATTCTCCCTCATCAGAGACAGAAGTCAATAAATCAAATAGTTTATCAGCTCTAAATGTCTAATTAACTAACCTCATACCCTATTCATTTAAACTGAAGAGAGACAATAGCCATCATCACCAAGTATAAAAAGTGCACCATATATTGTGTATATGTGTGTGCACCATATATTGCATGTGTGTATATATATATACACACACACACATAGATATAACCCATATATAAAGCACACATATATATAACACGTATACACACACATATATATAAAACCCACTCCCATTAAGTCAATTCTGACTCATAGAGACCTTCATTGGGTTTCCAAGGCAGTAATCTTTATGGAAATAGATTGCCTAGTTGTGCTTCTGTGGAGTGGCTGGTGGGTTTGAACCACCCACCTTCTGGTTAGC